CGCCGACGCACCCAACGCAGTGGTCATGGCCCGCCTCCCCCTTCATTCCTTCCAACGCCTTCCACGGGCCGTGTTGCCAGGCGCCGCCACGACGCACCAACGCAGGTCAGTGGCCACGCCTCCTCTTCATTCCTTCCACGCGCCTCCACGGCCCTCGCCAGGCGCCGCGATGCACCAACGCAGGTCAGTGGCCACGCCTCCCCTTCATTCCTTCTACGGGCCTCCACGGCCCTCGCCAGGCGCCGCCACGACGCACCAACGCAGGTCAGTGGCCACGCCTCCCCTTCATTCCTTCCTCCACGGAGCGAGCCAGCCACCGGGTGCTGTACCGCACCAGTGGTCAGTGGCCACACACCCTACCGCCTTTCCTTCAATTCTTTCCTTTCAATTTTTTTCTTATTTTTATTTTTTCCTTTTCCTACTTTTTTCCCTGGATTCTTCTAGACATGGTCTTTTCGACGTTTTTTATTAAAATTTCTTTTCTGAATATCACTTGTTTACTTTCCCATGAACGTACGTATATACGGAGAAACATACGTAGTGTAGGGAAAGTTGTGTAATGCTGCGGAAAATCGATTTCGAGTTTTCAACGGAAATGCACGTTTTGGGGTCCCCTGATATCGAAATAGTGTTTTGTTTTTGTTTTTTCAAAACGTCCGTCCATCTCTCTAGTGTATGTAAATAACACAAGCGCCTAATCCATGCGGAGGATTTTTTTCCAAGTTGAAAAAGCGCCTGTCCATTTGGTCTAAGTCGAATTCTGCGATTGCAAAATGAATGTCATTCATTAGTGTTTGGGGGTATTTTACATGAAGACGCTGGGACCTTTCCTGAAAAACAGCCAAATATTTCCTTTAAATTTCTTGTAAGAATAGAGTAAAATACTCTCAAGGCAGCATATGTCTGATTTTCACTGATTGCTTAAATTTTCAAAAATTTTGTAATTTTGAGTTGTTTCTGAGATTTCTTACAACTACTATATTGAAGACAGAGATTTTTTCTTCAAATACATTTTTTTTCTCCATAGTGAGTTCTAATATTAAGGTCATGTACATTTCTTTTAATTGTAGTCGTTTTCGCCCAATTGCGAGCAATATATGTTATTTTTAAAAAGTAGAACAACTAATTTTTTGCAAAAAAGGTTCCAAATTTTGAGTTTAAACTTTTGGTATGGATACTACTAAATGGACTCTATATGGTAACATTAATGCCACATTCTTGTATACTTTTGTTTTTTCAAAGATTTCAAAAATGTAATTTTTTAATTTGCAATTTGTTTACATTAATTGTTATTTATGAGTACACTTATTTTAAATAATGTCAGACAAAGTGTCAGGAAAACTCAACCGTTTCCTTTTAAAATTAGCTCAAAATTCGACACTTTCAAAACACTCCAATCCTATTTTCTCAAAAGCCACTCCAAAATTGTCTTCAAACGTTTTGAACGTGTAGTGCTAACTGCACTGTTTAAGATGACGTAGAAATAATTTCGCTGAATTCTTTTGTTTGTTTGTTTGTTGTTGTTGTTTTTTTCAAAAAGTACAGAAATGTATTTTTTTTTAATATCTCTCTAATATGCTCATTTCCAGCGATTTGTAAGCACTATTGCATTTGTGTCTAGAAGTGCTTGAAATGACTTTATAAAATGTTTTTCGGAAACTCAATGTTTTTGTGTGAAGAGATGTTCAAATTTTGCGTTTACGTTTCGGCATTTTCTTAAAAACAGATCCAAATATTTTAAAGAAAATTTGCCATTTAGGGAGACGTTTTACTTTTTTAATATCTTTAAAATAATATTTCCTTTCTAATATTATAAAACCGAAAAATTATAAAAATATCCAAAAATATACTTTGGGCGGTAATAGATGGCTGGCAAGAGTATGTGGCAAGTCCGAATAGCTAGTCGATACCAAAGGATATAGGAAACCAATACGGGAAAGTCTCTGCCATTCTGTTGCACCACTAATTATTAAATACCTTCTTTTTTTACTTTTTACATTCTTCTTTAAACTGTTTATCTATGTCATTCTTTTCCGATTTCACTTTTTGACTTTCCTGTTGTTTATCTTTCTTTACCAACTCTTCTCGTTCTTTTTAACATTACGGTGTCGTTGCTTCTTTTCAATACTCTGTTTTATCTGAACACGTTCGTTAAGAATACTATTAAAATCTCAACTCTTCTCCCATTAATCTGTTTGATTCTTCTCGTACAGAAGTGTAAGAATTTTTATAATTGAAAATACCAAGAGGAATGAAATAAGTTAATCTTTCCTGAGGCAGAGAGATAAGCACTTGAGTATACGGAAATTTCTAATTCGTCAAAATACTTTCACGTCTAAACAGTAAATTAATGTTTTGATTTCTGAATAACTCCTGCAAATAAAATATGTGACGGGTCTGCAAAATGTACTGGCAATTTAAGAATCCTATACTGGCAAGTGATAAATTGAATGTTGACCGTTTCAATTGCATATTTCTTCATCCCGCATAAGGACCACTTACCTTCCTTTGAATGTTTTGCTTTCAATAGCACTCTTTACCTTGGGGATCCTTGTAAGTTATCAACACGTGGAAAAAGCAACATATGTCAAAAAACATTTTTGGTAAGACATAGCGCAGTCGCAAAACGCAGCCAAATGATTTCTTCAATAGGGGAATGGCCTATTTGAATTTCTTCAATAGGCCTGTTCACCTTCCTGATGAGTGAAGTACAGAAATAACATTAAAGGTTACTGCGTGAGAAATCTTTGCAAATACACTGAGCTCACGTGATGACAATGTTTCCACTTGCTATCGAAGGTGGAATTATCTCGCCTTTTCCATCGCAAAGGAGATATAATAAAGTTGCGAACACAAATGGAGGATCTTGGTAGAGGGACATCATTAGAAAAAGTGTTAAAATCATCGACAATAAAGTAACTGTACCTATAAATGTGTTTCTCTTGCGTTATTGAATAGGATAAATTTTGAAAACTCGAGCAGTCATATATTCTATTATGCATTATTTATGCTGCGCAATGTTACATTAACCAGGGGACGAGAATAATGAAATGTTATTTATTGTGTAAATGAGTGTTATTGCGATTCATTTCATAAATTCACATGAAAACACTTGTCTTTTCAGCCAATAATGTTATCCACCGCTCAACCGGCGTCGGTCCATTGTGTTATTTTTTCATAAAGGGTTCGAATGTATCGATTTTGTCATTACGAGTGATATTGCAGACCAATTCCGACAACAATCGCACTAAAAACTGTTAAACCTTTCAAAGACGCATAAACTTGAAATATTTTTCAGTGCCGTGGCGAGCAAGGGAAATCGGATGAATACAAGTAAATGCTGAGATAAGTGAATCTTCAGAATCAATTGTCAAAGAAATAGGAATCATGTGTGAAAACTTGATGCAACTAAATTTAGTCTTCAATAATAATTTGCTATCTGGTATGTTGATACTCAGAAACGGTGGCAGCAATCATAATGATTCACTTGTTTAGTAGAGACTAAGTGGATATCCAATATTGTTTTTCTATTTTTCTATTGACTTTGATTTTACAATATTTTGTTCATAACATTTTGCTTATTTATGTTTTCAAATAAATGAAATCTGTGGTATGTGTGATTTAGAATATTTGGGCAACGAAGCCTAATTAATTAATTTCCTGTTAAAGAAAGTATTTAATGATTATCACAGAAAAAATAGAAAAAGCGTCTGGAGGAAATTTTTCCATGAAGATAATGCACAGAAAATTAAATGACTGTTTAGAACGCTGTTACTTGTTCGTTCAGTTATTTTTGAATCTAAATAATATCACGTTAAAACAGCACTTCCATTTTCCATCCACTTTATGAAAACGTCGAAAAATTGACCGAGTGAAAGGGGCTGAAATATCGATTATGAATTCGGTCCTAAAGGATATTTCGTATTTAACTAGACGTGGACCCACTCTTGAGCAGCCGCCATGATGTTTCATCTCCCAAGTCCTCTGCCAGCACAACTCAGCTCGGGCTGGTGAAACACTTGGGTCGCACTCGGTCCAGCCCGACATGATTGTCAGCGCTGCCTACCACCACTTTAGAACTAATTTAGATTTCGCGATTTCGCTGTTACTTTGTCAGTTGAAATGTCTCAGTAACAACATCTGGTACTGCTGCAGCGTCTCTGATCGGAAGATCCTTGCGTGTGATTACCAACCGAAGGCAGATTTTCGACAGTGTGTATGTAGGTATGACGTTTCATCCACAGCCTGGAAGAGACTGTTTCCGACTGCTTTGATCGGTAGTTTTCCGTGGTTCCTCCCATCAACACCAGGCGAATGCCGGAGTAGTACCCAAACAAACGGGCCGCGCGCGATCTTTCCTTCCTCTTCCTTATCCCTTATTTACACACAATTACTCTTACAGGCACTATACCACCCCACCTGCTGGGATCTTATAGCATGTCCCGGTCGGTTCAAACAGCGAGGCGACGTATAGGTCAGCGCCAGTTCTCACTTCCCAGTAGGGAAGGAACCGCGCTGACATCCCACCTCTATATTTGGATTTATTTACAGCTTCCTCTGACATAAATCAGTTGTTACAGTGTCATCCAATCGGAAGGTTGAACGTCATCATAGTGATGTGAAAGCTCCCGATTGGATGACACCGTAATAACTGATGACCTATCAGAGGCAGCTGTAAATAAATCGAGTATAAAGGTGGCTCCACACATTCGGTATTCTGCAAGTAGCGAGTGACCGCACGCCGAATCACGAGTAGTGTGGATGGGTTGCTTGCTATTTGCCGAGCGAGGAACGTTCGGTGCTCGTCCTACCCACCGCGTGTGGGTCGTTAGGACATATCAATGGAAGCGAACATTCGCCGAGCACATGC